AAATTTTTAATAAATACATTTATTACTAAACCTTTTGTTTTTGTAGCTGTGCTTGGTGTGGTTTCTTGCTAGAATATAGAACCGACTACGGAGATAGAGTCTAGAGCTAGATAGGGCAAAGATAGACAATATACAATACACCAATCTAATCAAAATTAATATCAAAACTAACAAAATTTATTTTGGCGCTAACATATAAAACCATACACACATACAATCATAACAATATATATATATATATATATATTTTTACACCATCAGTAAGTAGAGATTTCAACGAAGAAAAAGCCCACCGACGTTTTTAAAAAAGCAGATATTTCGACGTGAGAATTTTCGATTGAAAATTAGGGTGCTTTTTCGATATTAAGTAAAAATGAGGTGAAAAGACAAATATTTCAAATAAAAAAAATTACAGCGTGTTTGGGAGATAAATAGGTAAGTTTTCACCAAATTTCGTGAAAAAAAAATTTTTTTGTAAACGAAAAATAAAAAACCAAAAACTTGGTTATTTGAATTTTTCACATAAATTTTAAGATTATGTGAAAAAAGTGTAACTACAAAAGTTGTAGATCTTTTTATTACCTACAACTTTGCTATTTAACTTTTTTCCATAAGACTTGTAGTTTTCCCGGAAATCAAGATAAACAGTTTTTTACCCTTAAAAACTCACGCCCTTCCCCTTCCCGACCTCAGATCGCCCGTAAATTATTTTTCCTTTAATTTCTGTTATATTCTCTTTCTTTTCCAATGGGTTTCATCCTACTATAATTTTTTTTTTTTGGTTTCAAAAATTATCGACCCTGGTCTACTACGACCGACTTCACACAGAGGGACTCTCCAACAAACATTCGAATCGACAACACGTCTTTTTTCACAAGCTTAGTTTTCAATAAAAATAGTTTATTTGTACCGTTGAGAGAGTTTTATTTTTGCTGTACAGCGAAAGCAACCCTCACTAGACAATACAACTTTTGAAGTGGGGGCTCAGAGGAGTTTGTATCCAAATTTTCGGGAAAATCCATACTATCCGAAAAAATTGGGAGCTTTTACTTTATTTCCGCTTTCAGTGACTGGACTATCACTTCTTTTTAGTTACATTTTTATTATTATCATTCTACATACTGTTCCCCGTCATCAAGTGCAATAAAAATTAATGCTGGCAACTGAAACCGGTTTTTTGGATAGTCGGTTAACCGGTTTCGGATAATTCGGATTTTTATGAAATCCGAAAACCGGTTATTCGGTTATTCGATTCTTCAAATATCCGAAAACCGGTTATTCGGTTATTCGAATCTTCAAAATCCGATTATTCGATTAACCGATTATTCGATGATCTACTTCCTTTTTTTGCTCGATTTGCCCGATTGTAAGATTGTAATTGACCTTTTTTTTTTTGTTTTAGAGATCGATTTCTTCGTAAACAAATTTGACTTCCTGATTTTTTTTTAGACAATTAACCGGTTTTATCTGAAAATCTGAAATCGGTTTTTACCGAACCCGGTTAACCGGTTTCACTTTTTTCCGGTTTTTGCCAGCACTAATAAAAATGTCTACTAGCTTTTTAAAATTTTCACGTTTTATGATTTAATTCGACTGGAGTACCTAAATGCTTAGCCGTACTTAAACATTTTCCCTTTTTCGACAGCCATCAAGGCGTTTTTGAACGCCGAAGGTGGTATCTACTGCCGCAGCCTCATAGTACAATTCCTAGCGGCCTTGTGGCGTATTCAGCACTGGGTGCGCAACCAGAGACGCCTCCGACTGTATTCCTCCTCGATCCTGCTGGTGTACGACGCTAGACGGCTCCGCGAACACGTCAAACATATCAAAGTCAAGTCGCCCCTGAAGCTTACCAGAAACAAGAGCCTGTACAGGCCCATCAGCTTGGCCGTGCTCAATAACGAAGCGGAACGGATACAGACTGGGTGAGTGCGCGGCGTATTGTAATATAAAAGTAATTATTTGAAATTATGACCAATCCCTGCGACAGTTTCTAAAATATTAAAAGAACTACGTGATTTATGAATTATATTCCGATATTTTTGGGTTGTACATGAATTATACAGGATGTAAGAAGTTTGACTGCCATTACTTAGCACGATTAGCATGATATAGACTATTAGGCCAGTCATTATAGCTTTTTTCGGGGAAAAAATACTATTAGAAGTTTCTCTGCGGAATATTGTTCGGAAACCTGTTATAAACAAAATATCAAAAAATCGACTCGAGACTAGTTGGGAAACTTTGTTAAAACAATGGTCAAAGTTATGAAAAAGTGTTTTTTTGACTCGCGTTATTCATAGAGAAAAAGGGTTTATACAAAAAAGGTAGGTATTAAATAAATCCCTAAAATAAGACAAGTCCGATTAAATTCCGATAATTTGTTTATGCGCAAGAGCTCAAAAATGGTCGAAATTGTCCGCTTTTTTCAATTGCTAATAATTAATGCAATTTTCATCGCAGACACTTGTAATTCAGGATTTTTGAGNGCTCAATAACGAAGCGGAACGGATACAGACTGGGTGAGTGCGCGGCGTATTGTAATATAAAAGTAATTATTTGAAATTATGACCAATCCCTGCGACAGTTTCTAAAATATTAAAAGAACTACGTGATTTATGAATTATATTCCGATATTTTTGGGTTGTACATGAATTATACAGGGTGTAAGAAGTTTGACTGCCATTACTTAGCACGATTAGCATGATATAGATTATTAGGCCAGTCATTATAGCTTTTTTCGGGGAAAAAATACTATTAGAAGTTTCTCTGCGGAATATTGTTCGGAAACGTGTTATAAACAAAATATCAAAAAATCGACTCGAGACTAGTTGGGAAACTTTGTTAAAACAATGGTCAAAATTATGAAAAAGTGGTTTTTTGACTCGCGTAAAAAAACTGTTATTCATAGAGAAAAAGGGTTTATACAAAAAAGGTAGGTATTAAATAAATCTGTAAAATAAGACAAGTCCGATTAAATTCCGATAATTTGTTTATGCGCAAGAGCTCAAAAATGGTCGAAATTG